CCCTGAGACTTGCTACAACCATCTGATTCCTACTGTGACCACCACAGTTTCCTGTGCTAGGTGTCACCCTTTCCTGGCAGGGCCCAAGGGGTCTGCTTGTCCTCATAGAGGAAGGTCACCAGCCACTTGCAACTCGGGGGACCAAGAAAAGTTAGGTTGTTCTTAGCAGCGCTTCCTTCCTCTGGACACACCTGATCACCACGGATCTGTGACTCTCGGGCTGGTTGGTCTCTAGGGACACTGAAGAAGCTGCTAGATTGAAAATCCCAGAAAAAAAACAAGAAGGCAGAGGCCTGCTCTGTCCTTGGAACTTTCATCCGTCGGTTACCAAGCACCTCCCCCATCAGGCCCAGTCTTTGTGAGTGGGCAGGGACTGCCTCCAGCCTGGCCTCAGTTCTCACCTCTGAAAGTTCCTCAAGTTGCTTGCTCAAAGGTTTGGGGTGGAGTGGAGGTGGGGAGCAGAGAAGGGAGGGAACTGCCTGGTTTTCTCAAATCTTTAGCTCTAAAGGAAGGTATTTGTTGCCTTTGTTCTGTTTCAGACCTGTCTGTACTGGAAAGGCCCCGGGGACTGAACCAGGATGGGGGAAGGGATGCCTCCATAGAGGTATTCTTGTCATCTAAGATTGTCCCAGCCCCAAAAACTTCCAAAAAAGGAAATCTGGTCTGGGTTGTTTTTCATTCTTTCACACAAGGCAATTTGGATATTTTTTTTTCCAGAAACATATGAGCTACTGTTAACACCTTTGTAGGGCAAAGACCAGCCACAAGAGCCGGGTGTCCTTCCTGTGCGGGCGGCACTGCCCTTGTCCCATGGTAGAAGAGTGCCCAGCAGGAAGAAGGAAAGCCACTGAGAAGTCCCATCTTCTCAACCATTACACTGTGGATCACAAACTCAGCCGCAAGAAAACTAGAGTCCCTCTGTGAGGTGACTCCCTGACCTTAGACCAGAGAGAGATTCCATTCTCCTGCCCCAAGGGCCTCAGAGACCACTCAGGGAGACAGATACACAGCAAAGGCAGACAGAAGAATGCCCAAGTCTCTAGAGGGAAAGCTCCCAGAGATGGTAATTCTTGGGCCACATTTTCCTTTTATAAATGAACAAACAACAAAACAACAAAACAAATACATTATTATCATTTTTTTTTCTCTAAAAATAGGATTTGATGGTTGTAACAATCTGAGCAGCGAGAGTTCAGAGAAGAAAAGTTACAGTTTCCTGAAGGTCTCTAAGCCAGAAAGGGCCAACACAGAGTTTCAGATAGGACTGTGCTGGAAGTTTACAAAATAAAAGGAAATGCTGATAAAATGGACACCCACTGTACTGTGAGGATGACTGGGGTCTCTGTATAATGTATGTACCCAAAAGGGAGTGGTCATCCAGACCTGCCACTGTGCCAGGGCAGGACCCAAGAGTGGGTCCCCCAGTGAGCAATGCCTCAAAAATATGCGATGGGGGAGTTGTGGGTGTTTTATTTGCCTCAAACCCTCAATCCTCCTGCCTCAGTCTCCCAGGAACTGTGATTACAAGAATGCTCCATGTTTAAGAAATAAGGTAATTCTGAGAGTGGAGAGCAATGGGGGCAGTTCATATAAGAGAATGAGATTAATATCACCATAACAGCAGAGCAATGAGCTCGTGTGTGTGTGTGTGTGTGTGTGTGTGTGTGTGTGTGAAGTACTGAGCCCGACAGTTTTCATTAGTGGTTCAATTAATTTTCACAACAATATTGTGTAAGAACTTTTACTGTTGCCAGCTTACTGCTAAAAAAAATACCACAAAAAAGAGAAAATGAGCTTCTAGGATCCTCTTGGTAGTTAGAATCTAAACCCTGTTGATGTTTGACTAGAACTTTGTGTCTTCCTGAGTGTTAAGAAGAGCCTCTCTGCTGGTGCAAAGAACTCCAATCAAACCAAATTAGACTGAATCAAAAATACCCATGTTTAATAAATGCCACGATCCCGGGTGGACCGGGACAGCATGGCGGGGAGAGGAGCCCACGCAAACCCGGAGACCACATGTTCCTTTTTCTAGTGCCAGCCTAAATAGCCTGTGGGAGTAGTCCTGACCCTCCCTAGGAGGGGTCAGCTCTTGGCAGGCTGGGAGTTGGAGTCTGGAGATAGAGTCTGACCCAAGGCAACTCCCAGGCCAGGGGCTGGGGTGGTGCTTCCAATCCCTGAGGAGGACTTCTGAAAAGATTCTGGCATTAGAGGCATTAATGACATAGCAAGCAACCCTCCATTCCATCAAGAGTCTTTGCTCTAGTCAGGCAGTGGTGGCACATGCCTTTCTTTCCAGCATTTGGGAGGCAGAAGGAAGTGCATCTCTGTGAGTTCAAGGCCAGCCTGGCCTTCAAAGTGAGTTCCAGGACAGCCAGGACTGTTGGTGTCTCAAAACAAACAAACAAACAAACAAACAAAACAAAATAAAGTAAAAGTCTTTGTTCACCAATATACATAAGTTGATTCTATTTCAAACCAATCTAAACCTAGCGTGGCAGGAAGATTGAGAGTTCAAGGATAACAAGGGTTACTTAAGGCCCTGCCTAAAAAAGGTAAGCAAGTCCCTATAGTTTATAGTCATATGTCACTCTCAACTCCTAAAATGATTTTGAGAGGTTTCAAGGAATACTAAAAGAACCCAGTTTAAAACATGCATTACCTCGTTTATCAGAAATAAGTGGTTTCCTTCCCTTATTTCTGAGATAGTAAATTTCTATAGTAATTTCTTAGCCAGACTTGACTTGTGGACAGGAAGAAGAGCAGGAGAGTGGAGGGTGTGGAGCCAGCAACTGAGGGAGAGAATTCCTGAGGTGGCTTCCCTCAGGCATCATGGAATACTAGGAGGGAATGCTGGTCTGGCTGCAACAGACTGGACAAGTAAGAGATGATTAGACGTAAAACGCACGCTTTTTCAGTTCTTATCAGTCAGGGTTCTGAAGTCAACTTGACCTGCCTTCCCTGGAGGCCTCACTCAAGGTCCTGGCTCACCCAGCACACGCCACAGTCTCACAAGGGCTCACAAGGGCAGTCTGGCCACCTGCCTTCTAGCGCAAGAGATCTAGTGAGGAATCCTAATTTCTATTCAGACCTGAAAGAAATGTATACAGAGACTTGGATTCCAGCCCTGGAGCCAACTGCCACCAAATCATCTGTTTCGAGATAAGCGGGCTCCCCAGAGGGAAGGTGGTGAGAGCCTGGCATGGCAGGGTTTCCTGCCGGTTACAGGGCTGGCTAGTCTGCAGCCTCCTGGGGCCCTGGGAGAGCTAGGACTTGTCTGGGCTCTGGGAGTCAAAGACTCCAATGTCCATTGGGAAGAGGTCAGGGAGAGGCCTGGTGACAAAGGCACCGATGGCGTCAGCCCATCCATCTTCCTGAAGCTCCATCCGGCTTGAGAAGCAGAGTTAGAGAGACTCTCTGTGTGCTCTCTTTACTCTTCTGGGCCTATGTGGAGCAAACAGAAAGGGAATTAAATTAGAAACAAACTTGGAACATTCTCCTAAGCTTGGGACCTTCAGGTCAATGCTGGGGAGGAACCCACTGGCGCCTGAAATTGGAGGCTACCCAGCACTGACATTGGACGACAGAAGAGCCAAGCCAGCAGCAGATAGCCCCTCACCAGAAGCCCTGAGTCCTGAGAAAGAAAAGGCCTCCAGAGGCCCTGCAGCCCAGGCTCGGTTCCATTCCCACCATGACACCGGAACAGAGGTCCTCAACGTGTGAAACACAGACGGCCTCTGGTGCTGTCACCTGCAGAGCGTCTGTTTATAAAGCCTGTCCACCCACTGAACCACAAGCAGGTGCCAGATCAGCACTCCGCTCTAAATAACTCCTCCCGGTACTGTGTTGGACCTGCTGAGAACCATTCGAAAGCCAGATGTGGTGGTGGTGGTGGTGCACAGAGGCTGGAGGATCTCTATGAGTTTGAGGCCAGCCTGGTCTACATAAGAGAAATACATAGACTGTGTCTCAGAGAAGGAAAGAAAGAAGAAAGGAAGGAAGGGAGGGGAGGGGAGGGAAGGGAAGAAAAGAGAAAGAGGGAAGGGAAAGAAAAGCAGAAAAGAAAGACAGGTGGTGATCGCGCACACCTTTAATCCCGGACCTCAGGAGACAGAGGCAGGTGAATCTCTGAGTTCAAGGCCACTGTGGTCTACTGAGTGAGTTCTAGGACAGCCAGGGCTACACAGAAAAACTCTGCCTCAAAAAACAAACAAAACAGACACACACACACACACACACACACACACACACGAAAAAGAAGAAAGAAAAAGAAAAGAACTATTCTGAGTTCCAAGCCTGGCCCACACCTGTAACTCCACCACCAGGGACATTAAGACAGGAGGGTTATTTAGATGGGGTTGCTTGTATCTCAAACTAGCCTGGCCTTGCTATATAGCCATTCATGTAAAGTTTCACGTATTTCAGGGTAGCCTAGAACTCTGCGTAGTCAAGATACATAGCTGAAGACAACCTCAGACTTCTGATCCTTCTGGGTTATGACATGTGTTCAGCTACCTTGGGCTTTGAAGGGAGATCTGCCTCAAAACCAAACAAACAGAAAAGGTCAGCAAGCTGGTTCACTTGTCTCGAACTCTGACTACTGGGGTTTGATTCCTGACACCCACATGGTAGGAGAGAACAAACACCACCAAGTGTCTTCTGACCTCCACACAAGTGCCACGGGCAGGTGTGCAGACATGCTAAATATAAAGTAAAAATAGTCAACAACGAGCAAACTATTTTAAACCTCCAGATTTTAACCCTGGAAGCTTATAACACTTAGAAAATGGTCAACAATCAAAGCTCTCACTCCCTGGCCCTCTTTAACCATGTGTGCCCCACATGCCAGAGTGCCTCTGGGGAGCAGCAAGGCTGAAGATGGGTTTCCTGCCGCCTGTGGAGAGTTGAGCATTTCCTGTGCCCCGGGCCTCATTAGCACGCTGGTGGAGGTGCTTCCTGTCAGCGACTCTTTCCATTCTGCTCTGGGGGTTGGAGGAAAAAGAGTTTCTCACAGATCCTCTGGGCAGTTTGTCCCCCTGAGCCCTTCATGTTCCCACCAACAGGCAGAAACTAGAGAGCCACCCCAGCTACTTCACACCGGGAGCATCAACACCTGGATGAGAGACAGCTGACTTTCTGCAGCGGGCACCACTCACCCCCAGTAAACCAAACCTGATGCTTTTGAACCTTGTACCAACTCAGCCTGGAATTTCACGTGAAGGTAGGGCGGTTTGGGTTTTATTATTGTTGTTGCTGTTAGTAATAGTAGTAACTTTATTTATGGTGTGGGGGGGAGAGATTGAGAGAGAGAGAGAGAGAGAGAGAGAGAGAGAGAGAGAGAGAGATCAGAGTACATTGTGGGAAATGGTTCTCTCTTTCCACCTTGAAGGTGGTAACGGGGGCAAACTTAGGTCATCAGGCAGGCAGCAAGCACCACCTCTGCCTGCAGAGCCATCACACCATCCCAAAAGAGGGAGTCCGTTAGGAGAAAGTTCTAGAACAGAAGATTAGCATCTTCAGAAAGGAAAAAACAAAAACAAAAGCCAGAAAGCAAACTTTGTTTCGTATATGAGAACTTCAGCGAATACAATCTAGGAAGACTGGCTGGGGGGCTGCTTTCATGGTAGAGTGCTTGCCTACGTATGTGCATACGTACAGCCCCAGGGTGCCAGCCCTAGTATATACAGAGTGTGGTGGCACAACCCCGTAAATCCCAGTTTTAAGGAAGTAGATGCAGAAGGATCAGAAGTTCCAGGTCATCTTCAGCTACATATCTTGGCTACAGAAAGAGTTCTAGGCTAGCCTGACAGACATAAACCCACCACGAGTGGCTGTATAGCAGGTCCCAGGCTAGTCTGAGATACATGCAACGCCATCTAAATAAACAAGTAAGAAAATTCAAGCCGGGCGGTGGTGGCGCACACCTTTAATCCCAGCACTCGGGAGGCAGAGGCAGGTGGATCTCTGTGAGTTCGAGGCCAGCCTGGTCTACAAGAGCTAGTTTCAGGACAGGCTCCAAAAACACAGAGAGACCCTGTCTTGAAAAACCAAAAAGAAAAAAAAAAAAAGAAAGAAAGAAATTTCAAGAGTAAAAACTGATACATTTGAGAAAACATGGAGATTTGGAGAATTTTCTGTCATTCTTATCTGTTTTTTTTTCCTTTTTCTTAAAAAGGTGGTTGTATGCAAAATACATACCAATTTGCCTTTTTTCCCTCTGAATCAGCAACTTAGAAAGAGCCAAGGAAAGCGAAGCCATAGAGACTAGTCAATTCTGACCCCCAGAAGACTTAGAAGCTGCCAAGCCCCTAGAGGTTCCAGGGATGTATACCACCCCAGCCCCACCAGACGTCACCAGAAGGAACTCCTGGCCCAGCACTTTGCAGAGGACTCTTGGCGGCCTGGAAGGGTGAGTGCTTTGGGAAGTGAGCTCCACTGTCCCCTGCTCCCCTACAGGAATGGTCTAACCTGGCAGAGCTGCCATACACACCTACAGTATAGGTTTGGGTCCATTAGGACCAGCAAACTTTGAGCCCAGAGCCATTTGCTCAGGGATGCTGGAGGGAAGAAAGAAGATGGGGGGGGGGGGGATTAATAGTTGAATTTCTGATTGGATTTTCTTCCTTTCAGAGGCCCTGAACTCAATCTTTCTGATCTCTCGTTCTGCCGTGATAGAAACAAAAGTCCTAATTCCCCAGCGATGAGTTTTTAGATCCTAAAACCTTGTCATGAGTGTGAAGTGTAGGGTAAAAGTGATAAAGTTTTAGGACACGGGATCTTACAGAACGAAATTCACTCTGAAGTTCTCAATCTCAGATAAACAAAAGTAAAGTGTCTGTCGGGTGTTAAGACTTCAGAAATATTAGTGGGCATGAATTTCAGGGCTCTGATCAAAGGAAAACCCAATGAAAGAATATTTTTTTCAATTCCTGTAGTTTTAGAAAATTTCAATTTTTGTTTGTTTTGTTTTTGTTTTTTGAGACAGGGTTTCTCTGTGTTGCTTTGGAGCCTGTCCTGGAACTACCTCTTATATACCAGGCTGGCGTCGAACTCACAGAGATCCGCCTGCCTCTGCCTTGAGTGCTGGGATTAAAGGCATGCGCGCCACCACCACCCGGCCAGAAAATGTCAATATTATTACCAGAGTAAATCCATGTCCCTTGCAGTTATAACGCAGGTGCTGAAGAAGAATGAGTTCATATTCATTGTTGAAGCCTGAAGCACCCTCCCAAAACTATCTCCTTTTTTTTTTTTTCATTTTGGGGAGTGGGTGGAAGGGTGGAGAGGTCAGAGGGCAATTTGCAGGAATTGGTTCTCTCCTTTCATCGTGTTGGTCTCAGGGATCAAGCTCAGAGTGCCAGGCTTGACAGTGGTGCCTTTCCCTACTGAGTCAGCTCACCGACTCTAGAAACTATTGCTTCCTTAAGTTGCCTTTTGTTTTGTTTCCTTTTTCTTTTTCACTTTGTAACTAGAATATAAAATTTGTATGCTTATATTACATTTAGCATGTTGTTTTGAAATATGTAGATTTTGTCAGTGGCTAGTGAACTAGGTAAACATCTATTAGTTAATGCACTTTTTTAGGAGAGGATACTTCAAATAACTCCTTGAGGAATATTCAAGAATACTTCATTTTCAACATTGCTATGTTGAGCTTCTTCCTTTACCCAACCTTTGACCTACATCTCTGGGACCCCTCTCTCCCCACTCCTGGTGACCACCATTCTGCTACTCCCTGCTGCTTTGAGTTGAGTCTTTTTCGGTTCTGCATGTGAGATCATGCAGTAGGTATCTACCTGCCCCAGGCTTTGTTCAGTTCGCACGATGTCCTCCAGGTCTGTCCACCTTGTCACAAACGACAAGACCGTCTTCCCTCTCTATCCAGCCATCTGTTGAGAGACGCTCAGACTGATTCCACATTGGCTCTTGTGAATTTTGCGGCGGTGAGCATGGCAGTACAAACTACTCTAACAAGCACGGGGTACAGGCACACAGCTTTCATTTGCTCTGAACATGGATCTAGCAGCGGGACTAGCAGAGCATATGGTGGTTCTATTTTTAATTTTGGGGATAATTACCGTAAGTCATTTTCCACAATGACTGCATTATTTTCAAAACCATTTCTGGGCTCGTTCACTTCTTATTTCATTCAGATAGCATTGAACAAATACTCATTAAACTTCTATTATACATCAGAGGTGCTGTTTGAGATGCTGAGTGGATAGTACAGACAAGTCCACGACTTCTTAGAGCTCACAGTCAGGGAGTGATGTTTGATAGCAAAGAGATAACCAGGTATTGTGTATTATCAGTCAACCAGAGGGGCTTGAAAGAGAAAATGGAACTGAGTAAGAAGACTGTGACTAATGAGCCTGGCAAGGGAGGATCCCTTTAAGGAGGTCACAACACTGTAGAAGAGACTTAAATAAAATGAGGAACTTGGCCCTTCTGAGTACCTACAGGGGAGGTAGATCTGAGCTAGAACTAGTCTTCATATGGGCAGGAACAGCGAGAGGCCATGGTGGTTAGCATCAGAGGTAAAGGTGTTGGAAATGGGCCCAGAAGTTAACGAGGAGAAGCCAGATCACATTAGGTCAAAAAATTCTCACTGAGTACCGACTAGAGATTCACTACCAGTATGACGGAAAGCCGTGGGAGATTCCCAGTGGAGGAGAGACATGGTGTGACTTACTCTTTACAATGATTATTCTAGTCCATGGGTGAGCACGGTATGTTGAAGCCATGTGTGAAAGCCAGGAGAGCCACCAGAGAGGTGACCACTGCAAAATTCTCCCTGGAACTCATGTTGACTTAGGCCACGGTGGTGGCAATGGGAACGCAATGGCTGGGCTTGAAGCAGATGCTCTTGCCCAGGGCAAAGCCGATTAACTGGAAGTAGGGCATGAAAGAACAGTCAGTCAGGAGTGGTGCCAAGGGTTTAGACTGGACTGCTAGATGGTGGGAAGTCTAGAGGAAAAGCCGGTATATGGAGGCAGAATGGGAGTCCATCCGGTTTTGGTTTGAGATGTCTACTGGACAACCTAAGAGGAATGGCCAGTGAAAAACTGGGTCAGTCATTCCAGAACTCAGCAAGACAAAATCTTTCCAGGAATGACCTGGTTTTAATATTTGAGGGTCAGCTGCTTGTTCCTGCTCTACTTCCACTGCCTACTTCCTGCTAGAGTGGGCGTGGCCGCCTGCTGCTGCAATCATCTGGATGCATTTCAGTACCCAAGCAGAGCCACAACTGTGCCCTGCCAGAGAATCACAAAGCTACGCAAAGCTGATGTTGGCTAAATTTCACCCAACAGTCTAGTGTTGCTTAGAGACCAGCTCTACATTTTGGGGTTACTCAAGTTCAAGTAAGCTGGACTCTGTCACAGAGTCACTTCCTGATTGTGAGTTGAGTAATCCTCTCCCAGCAAGCCAGAAAACCCTGAAAGCAGGAATGAGGGGATGTCGGGCCAGATGTATTTGGTGCTGAAAGTTCGCAGATAGTGTGAGAGCAGAAAAAGATTGCTTTCTGGCCTCAACCAACCCAGATGCTTATTCCATCTCTGCACCTACTTGAGATCGTGGCTTTATTACTTTTCTTTTCTGGTCTCAGAATCCTTAGGGACAGGTAGGAGCAGGATAGGAGCTTTGTGAAGATTAAATAATAGATTTCATATGCAAGCCCCTAGAACGTAGTAGACATTCAAAGGGATGGCTCCCTTTCCCATGTGTAAAACTCCTTTCTTCATGAAACTGCTGTTCAGAACTGACTTTCTTTCCATTCTTTGTAGCAGCAGCAGCAGTAGTATTTTCAAGACAGGGTTTCTTTGTGTAACAGCCTTGGCTGTCCCGAAGCTCACTTTGCAGACCAGGCTGGCCTCGAACTCACAGAGATCCACCTGCCTCTGCCTCCTGAATGTTGGGATTAAAGGAGTGTGCCACCACCGCCTGGCCTTTTTTTATTCTTTTTAGTTATGTATAGTTACATGTGTGTGTGCACGGGCATGTGGGTCCGTACACTCAGAGGCCAGAGGTGTTGAATCCCCTGGAACTGGAGTTACAGAAGGTTGTGAGACACCAGTGGATGCTGGGAACTGAACCCCGGGACCCTGGAAGAGCAGCAAATGCTTCCAAACACAGAGCCATTTCTCCAAGTCCCAGATATGACTTTCTCTTACTCCAGTTTGTCCCCTCCACCTCAACATCATTTGTCTGGCTCCCCCATTCTAAATCCTTGTGTTACAAGTGGGGGGGGAGGGCTCTTCTTGAAGGGAAGAATACAAACAAAAGACATATACAATTTAAACCAAAGTTTATTTTGCAACAGTAAGCAAAGCAAACACTTCAAGGAGAGATTGGGGTGAGTGTCTCAAGGCAAGGAATAGCTCAATGAGCACTGTGCTGTTGATTGCAAAGAAGCTTTTATAAATATGTATGAGGTAGGTGGCTTCACCACAGTGACCTCTGTCACCCTCCTCTCTGCCCAAATCAGGGTGGGCCAGGTCTCCCTTTCAGAATATTTCTTCTAATGATCCCTACAAAGGGTGGGAGATGTCAAAACCATAATGCATAACAATATAATAGCATCAGTCTTTCGGGTGCACGTGTATAGGAAAACGTCTGGGTGTGTTGGTTTATGATAGAGCAGAAACAACTTAACCCCAGCTTCAAGGATGTCTATGCACAAAGGGGCATCTGGCCATCAGGGGAATCAGCTAAGATTCAGTTGTGGTTGCCCTCTGTTTCCTACCTGGTATCATTTGGGCTCTATCTCCTGAAAGAAGTCTTCTCCAACATCCCCAAACCCAAATCCTATGGCCACCTGGAGCATGACCACCTGGTTTTCCTCCTAGAAAGAAAGGCCAGACCACCAGCATCTTCCCTGGCTTTCTGGCACTCATGGTCATCCTCCTGGTCATCATGGTGGCCTGCATCCTGTGGCGCTGGAACAAACAGAAGAAGCGTGAGTCCCATGCTTGTCTCCGGTTGAGAGGCTGTAGGGTCAGTCTTCCAGCCTGGTGTTTAAACCCTGGGGCATTTTCTAATCAGAAGATACCTCTCTGGAGTCCTGTATCCTTTCCTGACACTGGTCCTAAGCTGTGGCCATAGTGTGGATCAGAGTGACATCGAGAAGACATAGCTTTGGCATCCTTGTGCCTGGTTTCCTCTTCCTGCCTCTGTCCACTGAATTTCTTGTCCTTGGACTGAATTAGAAATGTATCTTTTATGACACCTGGTGAGGGTGGGGACTACTCAGCCTGAGAGACCCTGTGCTCTGCGTGTTGACCCTATCCTACCATTGCCTTTCAGGGAGAGTGCCTTACTTCCAAGTAGCTCCGTCTCTGACTCTGCCTCCACCCAGACAGAGAGCCAAAAATATTTATGACTTCTTGCCCCAGCAACAGGCACAGTTGGGTAAGTTTCTCCTAATCTACCTGTTCTCAACCTGTGGGTCATGACCCTTTCGGGGGTCAAATGACCCTTTCACTGGGGTTGCATATCAGATACCCTACATATCAGATATTTACATTATGATTCATAACAGTAGCAAAATTACAATTATGAAGTAGCAACAAAAATAATTGTATAATTGGGGGTCACCACAGCATGAGGAACTGTATTAAAGGGTCTCAGCATGAGGAAGGTTGAAAACACTGCCCTAATCTATGGAGTCCTGACATTCTGAACTTAGGCTCCCAAGATGCACCTCGCACCACTCAGAAGCAGCTTCCTCCAAGTATCCAGGCTGCGGAGTAACTAACACTCAGTAGTCTGCACCTCCAGTGGGAACTCTGGACAGAGAGCAGGGGTCAGCCAGCTTTAGGCAACAGAGCAAAGCCAGTTACATCGTAGGTGGTGAAGACATGAGTAAGACCTCGTAAGCAAGGAATGGGGAGTTCTCCACAGGCAGGCCTGGAAATGCATTCAGGTCTCAGAGTGTCATCCTGTAACTCTGACCCTCTTAACCACAGACTACCAGACATTCTAGGTTCTCACAGGAACCTAGAGACCCCCATTCATCTGCTAGCTGAGATATTGGGGCAAAAGCACTCTGAAACCCACTATCTTCAGGATTCATTTGGTTGTTGCAGGGAGACATCAGTCGAATGGCTTCAGTACTGAGAGCCTCCTCTCCAGAGATTCTGACAGCCCTGAGCACGAGGTAAGAGCCAAGGGAAAAGATAAAGTCCCAGGAGCATGGCAGAGGGCAGGAGGGAATGGGGTTTGTCTCAGTTCCGGTTGTCTAGCATTTTGGTGTCGTTTGGCACAGACCATGAAGAACTTCCTATGGACAAGGGAAGAGAAATAACTATTTAACTTATGGCTAGTGTGGTCACACATTCCTGTAATGCAGCTCTCAGGAAGCTGAGGACAGTTTGGCAATTAGAGGCTAGACTGGAGTGCATTGTGAGTTCAAGACCCACCTAGACTACACAGGACTAGCATGCCAAGAGAGGAGTGAGGGGAGGAGCCGGCACTTAGGATTTTAAGAAAGGCGCATGCACTCAAGTGTGTGATGTTAGAACTGAAAGTGATGACTTTAATAAAGACACGACAATTTGTTTATCCCAATAAATGTTGCTCCATTCAGAGTGGACACTCCAGGAAGCCATAGCTATTTCAACGTTGTCATTAGTGTTCAAACCACACTTTAAATTCATCTTTTAAAACAAAAAATTTACACTTCATTTTATTATATTGTTTTACCTGCATATATGTATGAGCACCATGTGTGTGCCTGTTGTGCAGGGAGGTCAAGAGAGACCACTAGATCCCCTGGAACTGAAGTTGTAGACAGTTGTGAGCTACCCTGTGAGTGCTGAGAACTGAACCTGGGTCCTCTGAAAGAGCAGCAAGGGCTCTTAACTGCTGAGTAATCTTTGTTGGGGTAGGTCGGGGTTCAAGATAGGGTTTCTCTGTAGCTTTGGAGCCTGTCCTGGAACTTGTTCTGCAGACCAGGCTGACCTTGAACTCACAGAGATCCTCCTGTCTCTGCCTCCCGAGTGTGCCACCACTGTCTGGCACAGCTACATCTCATGTCTCTCTTTACATACATACATCCCTCTCCCCAGCCACACCTACCTTCTACATGGCCACATGTCTCTATACATAGTTACATCTCTGTCCTACACAGCACCTCATCTCTCTACACACATTTCTGTGTATCTCTGTTTACACACTTATTTACACAGCTATGCCCCTTCTCTCTACATAGCTCTCTTCTACATAGCTACTCTTTCCTCTTCCCAGCTCCCTCTGCACAGCCCTTCTCAGCCACTGCATCTCTTCTCGCCACACATCTCTGTTAACCTACATCTCTCTCCTACATATACATCTCCACCCTACATATACATCTCTCCCTACATATACATCTCTACCCTACATATACATCTCTCCCTACATATACATCTCTACCTACATCCATCCATCTCTCCTGCACACAATCTCTCTCCTACATATACATCTCCACCCTACATATACATCTCTCTCCTACATATACATCTCCACCCTACATATACATCTCTCCCTACATATACATCTCTACCTACATCCATCCATCTCTCCTGCACACAATCTCTCTCCTACATATACATCTCCACCCTACATATACATCTCTACCTACATATACATCTCTACCTACATCCATCCATTTCTCCTGCACACAATCTCTCTCCTACATATACATCTCTACCCTACATATACATCTCTCCCTACATATACATCTCTACCTACATCCATCCATCTCTCCTGCACACAATCTCTCTCCTACATATACATCTCTCTCCTACATATACATCTCTCCCTACATATACATCTCTACCTACATCCATCCATCTCTCCTGCACACAATCTCTCTCCTACATATACATCTCCACCCTACATACAATCCTCTCTCCTGCACACACATCTCTCCCCTACACACACAACTTCTCTCTACTCTGTTCCATTTCTTCACACATAACTACATCTCTCTTCTACATCACTCACCCATTCACTCCTCCAGGAACAAACTCTGGACAAAATATGAATTACATTTTTCAGGGACATAACTTTACTTGAGTAAACAAATAAGAGTCCAAGCCATTCTGACACACGTAAGGAATCACAGTTTCTCTCAGGCTTGGAATGTCACCTTGACCAGGCGTGGAGAGTAAAATAAGCGCGTAGCTCTAAGGGGTCAGGATTCCCAGAGAGCGACATTGAAACTCAGGACTTTAACAATAAACAGTTAGAGCCGGGCGATGGTGGCACACACCTTTAATCTCAGCACTCGGGAGGCAGAGGCAGGTGGATCTCTGTGAGTTCGAGACCAGCCTGGTCTACAGAGCTAGTTCCAGGACAGGCTCCAAAGCCACAGAGAAACCCTGTCTCGAAAAACCAAAAATAATAATAATAATAATAATAATAAACAATTAGTTGACTGAACCTTGACTACTGCATCACAACTGAGGCCAGGAGTTCATGCAGAAAATCAATTACAGTGGGGAGTTATGTCTTAGTGTTATCAGCCTGATTTTGGTTCAACAAACAGACAGCTGGGAACTTCCCCTTGGGCAATTTGTCTCCAGGGGCAACTAATCTATTTTGGATTTGCTCTGAAGTCTAAACTCAGGTAAATGTGTAAAAAGCTGTCTTTGTAATTGAGAATATTGCAATTTTTCTTTGTCAGTTTGAACTATGAAAAATATCCTAGTATTATTTCTATTCATCAGAGTTATACAGTTAAGCAGAAATTATCTTTCTGATCATCCACAGATATACCGTGTGCCCAGTAGATGAAATGTATTCATGAGATAAACACACAGCAGTGGGGAGAATACCCATAGCTGTTTTTAGGGAAGAGCTATAGTAGCTCATGAGAGAACTGCAGACAGAAGCAACCGGTTCAGAGTTTGTGGTCCCGGAAGCCTTGCTTAGCAAGATTCCTCCATTGGAAAATTATTCATCTGGTGGGCTAACACCTGAATTCTCAGTTGCTATCTGCTTGAATATTCCTCTGCCCTCTGGCAAAGCCACAGCCGCCAGCGGCTCAGCAGTTTACCGTTGGTATTCTATATGCCTTGTGATCTGGCTCTGAAGTTGACTCCTAAGAAATCCGAAGGCGGTTTGGTCCAGAGACGCCTCTAAAATCAGGATAGCGGTTTTCATAGTCAATATGTTTGCTAGATGTCAGTTGCTCTGAGTCAAGGATGGTTCTTGGCTCAGTGGGGACGTCCCAGATGGAGAAGCTGTTGTTGCTCAGATGTTTAGGTTCCCAGGGAGTCACATTACAGTATGGCCTCTTCCTCCTATTCATTGACTATGACTTCCTGGAGTATCCGAAAAAGGATACTCCATTGCTAAAGTTTGGGTAGTCCCTGAGGGAATCTGTCTTTAACTTGTGGATCTGTTTGGATTCTGCAGTGATCGAAAAACATTTTGAGCTGGGCAGTGGTGGCACATGCCTTTAATTCCAACACTTGGGAGGCAGAGGCAGATGGCATCTCTGAATTTGAGGCCAGCCCTGTCTGCAGAGTGAGTTCCAGGACAGCCAGGGCTACACAGTAAAACCATGTCCCAGCCAGGTGGTGGTGGCACACGCCTTTAATCCCAGCACTCAGGAGGCAGAGGCAGGCGGATCTCTGTGAGTTCAAGACCAGCCTGGTCTACAAGAGCTAGTTCCAGGACAGGCTCCAAAACCACAGAGAAACCCTGTCTCGAAAAAAACCAAAAAAAAAAAAAAAAAAAAAAAAAAACCATGTCCCACAACAAAAAACATTTTAAACATATTTAAACATTTAATAACCGATAGCACCGGGGGTGTGGTGCATGCCTTAAATCCTAGCACTTAGGAAGCAGAGTCAGGTGGAGCTCTGTGAGTTTGAGGTCTACATAGAGAGTTCCGGGATATCCAAAGCTACTTAATGAGACCCTGTCTCAAAATGAATAAAACCAAAAATAAAAAAATAAATAAATAAAATGAAACTAGTACTTTGTTATGGAACTTGGAACTTTATGACTGCAAAAGCACTCAAAAGGCTAAAGCTGGATTGTCCATAAGCGGAAGGCCAGCCTGGGCTACGTAGTAAGCTCCTGAAGAGTGTGAGCAACAGAGGAAGACCTTGTCTCTAAAAAAAGGGGGAAAGGGTTTCCCCATTAAAAGTCCACAAGCGCCGGGCGATGGTGGCGCACGCCTTTAATCCCAGCACTCAGGAGGCAGAGGCAGGCGGATCTCTGTGAGTTCGAGACCAGCCTGGTCTACAGAGCTAGTTCCAGGACAGGCTCCAAAGCCCTGTCTCGAAAAAGCAAAAAAAAATAAAATAAAATAAAAGTCCACAAGCTTTCTTAAAATTTTTGGACTCCAAGAAACCAAAATCCTTCATCGTTAGTATTTTCTATTTGCTAACACTGTTCTCAACACTTCACGTGTAGAATCCTTTGACCATTCACAAAACCTTATAACATAAACCTTGCGACAATCTTCAGTTTACAGACTAGGAAATGAAGGTGCCAAAGGAAGACTTTCGGACTCACTCGGAGTGGCAAAGCTGGGATTTGCACGCTCAGACTGAATCCGAGTCTCCGTCTTCAGGCCATGCATTGACCCTCCAGTGTGCATTGGTGAAGGGCACTTTCTCCTGTGTGTCCTTCTCCTTACCTACTGGCTTCTCCCCCTCCACTGAGCCAAAATCTGCTGTGATTTGACATCTCACTTCAGCCTCTGTTTTTCTGAATGCATTTGCGATCTTAAGGGCTGAACCTAGGTCCTTGCATGTGCTGCACAAGTACTCGACTACTGAGCTACAGGACCAGCCTTGCTTCTCTTATACCCTTCACTCATGCCCTCAGCATACCTGGCACCCAAAGCCTTGCAGTGTGGATCCCTCGCTTGGAGCTCATCTCTAAGCTAGAGGATGGATGAAGGGATTGTAATGCCAGGCAGTGCAGGGAGGAAGAGTGGCCGTGTTTCTATTTCAGGTCCCATCCTGTCACTTTCTCTTCTTTGCAGGCCTCTCAGGCACTCAGCTCCCTTCAGATACACAGAGCTTCTGTTCATGCCGTGGCGTACACAGTAGGCATCTATGACAATGGCACAGTGCCCCAGATGTGCGGGGACCTTGCCCCCTCAGCACCTTACAACAGTGTCAGAACCTCCAGAAATAACTCCAGCATTTCTTCCAGGGAGTCAAATGATTATGTCAATATCCCTACAGCAGAGGAGACCAGTGAGGCTCTAACTGCTCCCAAAAGCACTCCTGAGAGTCACCGTGGTCTTCCCAGTGCCCAGAAGCTGGAGTTTGCTGAAGCAGGGCATGCAGGCTCTGGGGCTGCCTCTGACCACACTGCTCTGTGGGCTCCAGGAAGTAAGCGCAGTGATTCCCTCAGTGATGGAGAAGCTTCATCTCAGACTTCAAATGACTACGTCAATATGACGGCTTTGGATCTAGAGGACATTCAAGAGTATCAGCCCAGCATGGCTCTTCAGTGCTGCAGGGATTATGAAAATGTCCCATCAGCAGATCCCAACGGAAGCCAGCCGGAGACTCGGGAAGAAGTGACATCTTCCAATACGGATCATGGGGACCCTGTCTGGAGAGCCCTGTCCTCTGTGTATTATATGGCGTTCCAGCCATTTACACAGAGCGAGGAGAGTGAGGCGGCACAGGCAGAAGAGCAGTCAAGTGAAGACTCTAACGACTACGAGAATGTGCTACCTGCCAACTTAGAAGGCAGGGACTGTGAACAGGGGCCTGGCGCTTGGCATCATTCTGATGAGGGAACACCAAGCTACCTAGCTGGGAAGCCTGGTGGGGTGGCCTACCCTGCTGGGTCTTTAGCCACTGAACTCTCTAGCGAAGAAGCCTAGGTGCCCTGGCATCCTATTGGATTCACTTGGCTTGGCTAAGGAAGCTGAGAGGAGCAGGCTGCAAAAAGGCAAAAGTTTAGGAAGCCGGGAGGAGAGATCTCCTCAGGCAAGACTGCCGTTAGCTCTTAGGCCAGCTGAAGTCTTCCTGGGGATATCAGGAAAGGGAAAAGTGTGTAGCACTTAGAACAGGATGGACATGTAACACAGATGAAAATACCACCTTCACAAACACACGCCAAAAGGAGTGTAGGTCATTTGTGATTCAGGCAGGCCAAACGGAGGAACAGCTGGGGCTGGGCAAGCGAGTTCAAGTCTAAGAAGAACCGGTGAGGGTGTAGAACTACGGGAGCCCTGTTGCAGCTAGTGTGATTGCAAACTTATCTGATGAACTATTCATTTCACTCTTAGGAACTGAAGCCGCTTTCCAGTGTATGCCGGAGTTGTACAAATAAGTTAATCTGCTGGAGATAAGGAAGGGCAGGTTCCCTGTAAAATGGTTTTATTATATGAACCTGAATATATATGGCCATTTTTATGCACACATAAAGTGTGCTCTGAAATGCCCGCCCATTCCTTAAGACTTCCCTTCTCTCATTCCTTCTCCTTCCCATGAGACCTCTGCATTCCCCTGTATGGTCTCTCTTCCACTTTCCTACCAGCTATGCATAAAGAATTTTATGTATGGGCTGGAGAGATGGCTCAGAGGTTAAGAGCATTGCCTGCTCTTCCAAAGGTCCTGAGTTCAATTCCCAGCAACCACATGGTGGCTCACAACCATCTGTAATGAGGTCTGGTGCCCTCTTCTGGCCAGCAAGCATACACACAGACAGAATATTGTATACATAATAAATAAATATTAAAAAAAAGAATTTTATGTATCTATATAAAATCTAGGACCAACTAATGGGAGAAAATGTGATATTTGTTATCTTAGTGTGGTACTAACTGTGGTAAGACAAAATCTGAGTGTGGTTTTAATTTTCGTTTCTCTGATGGCTAGTGATGATAAACACTTTCTACTTCTTCTCTTTTTCTTTCCCCCTGGTTTTTTGAGACAGGGTTTCTCTGTGAAACAGTCTTGGCTGTCCTGGAACTTGCTCTGTAGACCAGGCTAGCCTCAGACTCACAAAGATTTGCCTGCCTCTGCCTCCTGAGTGTTGGGATTAAAGGCGTGCACCACCACCACCTGGGCTTGTACTTTATCTTTCCAGAACTATCTATTCCGCTCATTAGCTCTATGAATTATGAATGAGTGTGTGTGTGTGTGTGTGTATGTGCGTGCGCGTGTACACGTGCGTGTGTGTCACTAGGATGACCTAGGCAATGTCCATGAGCACACTGAGCCCTCAGATCCTGGTCCCTAAGTGCTACTTTCCTGGAGAAGGAACAAGAACTTGCTAGAGAAGCGTCTGGTTCTAAGGCTGCTTGTGCATCTTGTAAAAGGAAGAAGAGTAGAGTAGAAAGGGAGTAAGGAAGATACAGGCAGGGAGAAAGAGCCAGCTGCAAAGAGTTCCTGACTTTAAAACCTGGAACAATTGGACAATGAAAAACAAGTAATTATTGATTAGTAGTTCAGAGAATAACAACCACAAAATCAATTCTCATAAGTCCATACCAAGGGTGAATAAGTAAACCCGCTGTAAGGAAAGAATGCCTCTGAGCTATAGATGAATTCCAAAAGCTGTGTGCAGAAAGGATAAGGCAAATGGACAAATTGACACTAAGCACCCCAGGACAATGCTGCCAGCAGACCCACTGATGGATGATGCCATGATTAGAGAGTGACATCTGTAATGGATTAAGTAAAAATGCTGCAGGTTCCCAAGTGGCTGCAGTGGCAGAAACGCTGTAGGTCCCCAAGCGACAGCAGGCAGCGGGCCATGTGGTGCCAGGCAGTGGGCAGCAGGTCCCAAGAGCAGCTAGTCCCAGGCAGGGACGGCACAGTTCCCCAAGTGGCTGCAGCAGGCCACGAGGAAAGACAGACAGATGGGCATGCCACAAGACCACGCTGCAGGTCTCCGAAGGCAGTTGGTCCTAGGACGTGTTGGGTGAGAGACAGAGACATGGATAGGCATGCCATGCAGAGTGATGTTGGATGTTTATTTAGTAGGTTATGGAAGGGAAGGGGGAAGGTAGAAGAGGAGAGAAAGAGAGAGAAAGGAGAGACAAAAACTGCCTCTTCAAGAGGGAGACTGCAACGGGGGGGGGGGGACTCAGGCTGGAAGCTGAAGCTCAGCTTGCTTAGGCAGACAAGTGAGGGAGTGGATGTGACTTGTCTCTTAAAAGGACAGGACAGATCATTACAATACCAAGAGGCAAGATCATAACAGAACTTCAGAGAATCTTCCCTAAATATTTATTTATTATTGTGATGGTTTGAACACTTGTCTACAAACTTTCCCATAATTGTCCTGAAACTTAAACCTTCTCTCTTTGAATACAGGTTGCATTCATTTCCAGTGGCTAGAATATGAAAAGAGAGAAATACTAAGTTTATAATGGAAAAATTTGGCAGATACCACCTTCATCAAATGATTACTGTTAGTCAGCCAGCCAGCTGTAAGTCACGGGCTGCTGATAAGACCAGGAACACCATAAAAAATAAATCCATAACTCCAGCCTTATCCGAAATTCACACTGGGCTAGAGAAGTGACTCACTGGTTAAGAGCCTGCAGTACTCTTGCAGAGGACTGAGTTTGACTCCCAGAATCCATGTTAATTGTTCACAATTACCTGTGACTTGAGTTCCAGATCAAAAGCCTCTGATCTTCAAGCACACTTGCATGCTCAGGCACAGGCCTACATGTTGAAAGGAGCTGCAGGTTGCATTCCTGCTGCCCTGCTCCCAGCCGCCTGGCTAGCTTATGCCCCGAAATAACAACACACAAACTGTATTCATTTAAACACTGCCTGGCCCATTTCTATTAATGTGTGTAGCACTGAGGTGCGCTTACCGGGAAGATTCTAGCCTACGTTCATCTGGGGTTGGAGCTTCGTCGCGTCTGCCCAAGAGAGCAGAGCTAAGGTGTATGAGCTCACTTCCTCTTCCTCCCAGCATTCTGTTCTGTTTACTCCACCCACCTAAAGGCTAGCCTATCAAATGGGCCAAGGCAGTTTCTTTATTAGCCAATGACCTTTCTCCATCACCTACACACAGACCTACGCACTGACACATAGTTAAAAATAACTAAATCTTTAAAAGAGAAAAAAAATCCAGACTGGATGTGTTGCACAGATACCTAGCCAGAAAAGACTGAGAAACAGTCACAGATTAGAGGAGACTCAGGGGGCACAACGAAATATAGCACGATGCCTCAGATTGGATTCTACAGTAGAGAAACAAATAAGATTCCAAACACCCATATTGTCGGGATCCGGTAGCAGCCTGGACCATTGATTATTTTTTTTTAACCAGATCCCAACATAAACTATCACTCTCTGGACCAACATAGAGGCGCAGGAATAAAGAGATAACTCACATGGCTTTTTTGGGAGGGAGATTCCCAGTGGTCCCTCATGAAATCCTGAGTTCACATGCTGAAGAATTTCTCTCATTTATTCTCCAAACAGCTTTTATACCAAAATGTAAACTGAGGGGACAATTCATTAGCATTTTGTTTCCTAGGTAACCAGGTGACTGGCTTTTAGTCACATCCACATCTACCTATGTCTCTATCACATCTTCCTCGTCTGTATGCTAGCTTTGTCACGCAGGTTGAATTAGCATCTCTTTTCAGGAATCCTCCAAATTACAGAGAAGGAGCAAAACAACATCCTGACCCTTTGTTAGGTTAATGACAGCCTGTCTGGAAGGTTACATGACCATCTCAGTGTGGCCTATGGCTTTTGAGCCTGGCTGCCATACCATATAGAAATATGGGCCTACACCATCGGTAGTTAGTAACATTGTGTTAGTGCTACTGTCTTCAGTTTTATGGCTATAAAGTGATCATGTAAAACATCAACACTAGAGGAAGTGAGATGAAAAGACATATGATAATGCCCAAATTATTCTTTCACCTCTTTTGTAAGCCTGAAAGTATTTCAAAATAAAAACAAATTTAGCTGCGAATGGTGGCACACACCTTTGATCCCAGCACCCAGGAGGCAGAGGTAGGCTGATGGATCTCTGTGAGATCAAGGCCAGCTTGGTCTACAGAATGAGTTCCAGAATACTCAGAGCTAAATAGTGAGATTCTGTCTCAAAAAACAATAAACAAACAAGCATATATAATTAAAGCCTAGTTTTAATAGTTACGGTTTCCTAAAAGAATAGAACCAACAGCATGAATATGGATTACAAAGAAGACTTACTCTTAAGGCTTACATAATAAGGGCTGGTAGTATGACAAATGCTACCTGAATTCTGGAGAGATTGAGAACCTGCCACTCAGTCCAGAGACTGGAAATAGTGCCATGGACTAGACATGGCATTGCCCAATAAACTCACAGTGACTATAGTACCTATACAAGGTCAGATAACAAAATAAACCAACATTTCGGCAAGCAGCAGGAATTGAACTCAGTGGGTTACAAAAAAAAACAATTTTAAGAGAGAAAATGTGAAAACAGAAGGGAGATGTGGGGGATCCAGGAAAAGTTAACAGTAGGTAGGTGTTATCAAAATGTGTTGTACACATGTATGAAATTCTCAAAGGATAAATAAAATTGTTATATTTGAAAGATAAATAATCCATTGTGATTCCTTAAGTAGTTAAACAATAGATTAATTACTTATATTAGTCAATAGTATCAGTTCTGTAAAAAGGAACAGAACTGTTAGAATATAATATATACACATACATATATGTATGTGGGATTTTTTTTTTCTTAAGACAAGATCTCTTTGTTATTCAGCCCCAGCTGTCTTGGAGCTCTCTCTGTAGACCAGGCTGGCCTCAAACTCACAGAGACCCACCTGCCTCTGCCTCTGCCTCCTGAGTGCTTGGATTAGGGGCGTGTGCCACCACCTCCAGGCTTTTCCATATCCTTTTAGCCAGGCTGCCCCCAGAAAGTGTGGCTCAGATGTGGTGGGGGGTTTCCTACCTGTAGGCCCATATTTCTGTATGGCACAAGAGCCATTAGCCCAGTCTGAGCTGATCATGTAACTCTGCAGACAAGCTGTCTCTGTTTAACAATAGCCAGGATGTGCTGCTTCTAGTTTCTTTTGTTAAATGTAGATTACCTGAGAAGAGATGTTGGCTGAAACTGATGATTTAAGAGTTAAGAGGTTTGGTGCTTCCTTCCTTTGTAATTTGGAGGATGTCTTATAAAGATGCTAATTCATGGCCTACCTGACTGCTAGCATACAGGTAGATGCAGACGTGACTTGAGCCCATGCACCTGGTTGCCTAGGAGACAGCCTAATGTGTTTTCTCCGTTCAATTGATGTGATGATATATAAGGTGGAGAATAAAGAGAGATCTTTGGGAGAGAGATCTTGCCCTTCCATGATGACTGTGTAAGCTGTGTCGGTTTATTCCTCGCGACTCCGTTCCAGTCCAGTTAGGGAATCTGTGTTGGACCCACACGGTCTTCAACACCTACCTTCACTAGTCTGACCAAGAAAATTCCTTACAGGAGTGTCCAGCAGCTTGGGTTTTAGTTGATCCCACATGCAGTAAAGTTGGCAATCAAGATTAGCCATCGCATCATCTCCTGACCTTGTGGCTATTGTCTCCTTGTTCAGAACAGTAGCTAGTATAAAACACAGAGATTTGTTATGTCTCTCTTTCCCTCTAGAAGACACCATGCCATAGTGG